ATGGAATCTACACAAAATTCAATAAAGTTTTGATTAATTAGGGTATTGGCCTAGCTTTGTGTGCATGAGAATGCATATGATGTGAAGAACTTGAAAGAAAAATGTCTTTTATTTTATTTTTTCTGTATGTTTTATCTTTTTATTTTTTAAGAATAGTATCTTTTAGTAATAATATTTGTAGTAGTAATCACAGAACTTGCTTTGTGTCTCTCAGTTCATAGTAGTACTAACAAATAGAGCTACTATCATAAGAAGAGACAAGTTTCATGAAAATTAGCAAATTGCTTTAGTGCACAGTCATGTGAGCCCTGGAACAAAACTTTAGGATTTAAAGGTTTTTGAGCATGTAAACTTGGACATGTGATAAAAGCTCTGTCCTTCACTTTTCTCATTTGTAAATGGAAATGATATTTGTGATAGTATCTATCACAGTGATGTGTGAATTTAATAAATCACACATGCAAAGAGCTTAAAATAGTGGCTGGCACATAGTGACATCCAATGATTACCAGTTGCCATTATTAGAACACAGAGCTTCTTCGATCAGTGGAAAGAGCATCCGCTTTGGGGTAAGCTCTCACACATGTCCCTCACCTGCACCTCTATGAGGTCTGTGACCTGGATGGTTCACCAAACTTATCTGAACTCACTCTCTGTCTCTATGAAATGGGCCTAATTATACCACATTGAAAGTGTTACTGGACATAACACTTAGTGACATAATGGACATTATGGCATGATGCTGGTACATAGTATGTGGTCAGTAAATAATGACTATCACAACAGATTCTCTGGAACTTGACTTTTCTACTAGTGAGTCTTCTTGTATGTAAAGTTGAAATGCCAGTACCTTCTGAAGACAAGAGCTAGTGTATGCAAAACTGTCTGCCTCATAATGAGGACTCATTTTGATTATCATCATCTGTTCCCTGAGTCAGCAAACCACCCACCACTCGAGGGCTAAATCCTGCCAGGGTACAAGTTTTTGTATAGATTAAGAGACAGGAATTATTTTATATTTTTAAATGGTTGGGGAAAACCATAGAAGAATATTTTATGACTCATGAAAATAATATGAAATTCAAATTTCACTATCCATAAATAACATTTTGTTTGAACACTGTCACGGTCATTTGTTTCTGTATTATCTATGGCTGTTTTTGCATGACAGTGGCAGATGTGAGTACTTGTGGCCAAAATCATAAAGCCTGCAAAGCCTGGAAAATTTGTTATCTGGTTTTTTACAAAAAAAAACTTGCTGACCCCTGATCTATTCTAACCTCCTCTTATATGTTCAGGGGTAGAAAAATTAGAGATTGATTGACTGATTGATTGATTTAATACATTGTCTTTGTAGGAAACATTGTTATAATCAAAGAATGTCTGGAACTTTAAATTATTGGCTAACTAGCAGTTTTATATCTAGTTAGTTATTTAGGTGACCTCTCTAGTAGTCACTACTTGTTTCATTTCCCCATTGCTTCATTTTGAAAGCAACAAACAGCTCGGCTGTTCTCAGCCCACCTCTTCCTTATCACTGACCATTCTGGCCACCCCTTATCCATTCCTTCCTCCCCACAGTCCACCTCCTTCCCTAATCCCATCCCTCCAAAGTGTAAATGAAGCTGAGCAACAATCACAGATGGTTTTATTTCCCCTTTGTTTTGGACACATTCATACATTTCTAATTAAAGAAAATAAATGTTTTTAGATTGACCCTCTATAGATGAGACTCAGCAATGCCTCAGAGTTCCATGATCTGGGTACTTTAGAAAAGAATAAACCAGTGTACTGAGTAAGCCAAGTGTGCCCTAGAAAGGCAAGTGATGGATTGATTTGCTGCAGTTCAGGGTTTAATTTTTGGAGTTTACATATTCCAGAGCCCGAATAAAAATAGGGACCAAGAACAAGGATATATGAACTCTAACCATCGCATTATCTGTTTATATCTATGAAAAATAAGAATATTGGGACGCCTGGGTGGCTCAGCAGTTGAGCATCTGCCTTTGGCTCAGGGTGTGATTCTGGAGTCTAGGAATCAAGTCCCACATTGGGTTCCCTACATGGAGCCTGCTTCTCCCTCTGCTTGTGTCTCTCATGAATAAATAAATAAAATCTTAAAAAAAAAAAGAGGAAAATACGAACATACAAATCTACCTAACAACTCAAGTAATATATTTAAAATAATTTAAAAATTAAGTCACTAAAACCAGCCACTGATTATTTATCAATTACATTAAGTCATATTGTTTTAATGGAGCCTTTTAAAAACTGAATTAATCCAAAGTTTTGGTACAGATCACACCTAACCAGTGACTTAAAGTCTCAAAGGAAGAGTCTCACTTATATTCAGAATTCTGCAAGGGGTAACAGTTCGTTTTCGGGTTTTCCGACATATTAACACCTGCTAAAGGTATATCAGAGATGTCCTGAAGGGACAAGAACTTGCTCAAGTCCATTATTAAATTTCCAGGAATTTTACAAGTGGGTTGTTGTACCTTTGGCAGCTTGAAATCGCCTGTGGTAGAAGTATAGGCAGACTCTAGAAATCATCCCTTGTCCAAGTGGTTTATCAGCATGCTATTGATCGTATTTAAATAAACCATACTACTAAATGTTCTTATTGGGGAAATGAAAATGTTCTAAAATTGATTTATGGTGATGTTTGAACCACTCTTTAAAGTCACTAAAAATTGTGGATTTGTATACTTGAAATGAGGGTGTGTTATCTGTAAAGTACACCTCAATAAAATTGTTAAGCAAACTGCTTCCAAACCAACAAACAAAATGTCAACATTTATTAATGCCTTTAAGATTCAGCTACATTCCCAATAAGTGAAAAATAAAATCATACTTTTCTCAGCACTTCTGATGGATTAATACTCTATGCAGTGACTCCCAACCTTGGTCTCTCTCTGGAGTCACTTGGGGAGTTTAAAAAGAAAACGCTCACTCCCAAGAACCTAATGTCATTTGTCTGGCACTTGGCCTGGACAGAAATTTTTTTTAAATATATTTATTTTTATTTATTTATGATAAGTCACAGAGAGAGAGAGAGAGGCAGAGACACAGGCAGAGGGAGAAGCAGGCTCCATGCACTGGGAGCCCGATGTGGGATTCGATCCCGGGTCTCCAGGATCGCGCCCTGGGCCAAAGGCAGGCACTAAACTGCTGCGCCACCCAGGGATCCCATGGACAGAAAATTTAAAAAACTTTTTGTGTGACACCAGTGTACAGCTAAGGTTGAAAACCTGAACCAGAGAGCAATTTTCCCAGATTAACTGCCGTTTGCCTTTTATGGAAACCATCATCAAATATTTAGTAAATTTCCAGGCCTTCTGAAATACAGAAGTCTTGGTATAAATGTACCTGGTTTGGGTGTTTCTGGGTTGTATTAAATGTCCATTCTTTGACAACAGAGGGAAGGCACAATTCTGTTTTCCTTGTGGGTTTTGCCCACAGTCACTTCCTGCTGCGGGCATATGGTAGAGAGAAGAGACATCATTTAGCTCATCTCTGTCATCCAAGGAGGTTACAGCGTCACTCAAGCATTGAATGTGGGCTCATAGAACCAGAATTGAGTACCTCCTTTGTCTCTCTTCTCTTTTGGAGCTTCCTGCTGATCATAGGCTGGGGATATTGATAATGAAGCATGTAACAAATTATACTTTAATAATTTCATAAGGCTGTAAGTGAGAGCTCAAGGGTCTAGCTTTAGTGCCTGGACTTTGTGACACCTGTTTGGATGCTCAGGGGTATTTTACCCTTTCACTTTGGAGATTCATCCTAGAAGAACAGTGGTATCTGAGTACTCCGAATTCCCAGTAAGGGGAGTTGACTCTGGAAAATTCTCACTGTTATATCTGATTTATCTAGTGAGGGTAGAGTTCAATTCTGAGACCTCCATTTTAAAATCTGAAGGCTGGACTTATGGAGAACTTTTACAATAATACCACACAAAAGATATAATCTCTCCTGACTTAATGCAGAGATTTTATCCCTGTTTCAGTTTTTCTCTGGCAAAGAACACAGGCTTTTGCAGGTTGAAATCCCAGTTTTGCCATTTGTTGATGTGTGATGTAGGAGAGTTCTTCAACCCCTTGGGTGCCATTTTCTTCCTTTGTAAGTTGGAGATAATAGGCTCTATGTCACTGGGTTGCTGTGGAGACAGTGCTATTTATGAAGAGGTGCTGGTCTTGCCTCTTGTGAAGCACAGGTGTCAAAATCAGCCTCATTAGGATATTTCTGGTGCTTTAGGGTAAAGGTCCAGTTTTTCCAGGAAACCCCCTACACCTCTCTTGTGTAATACTTGCTTCTTTTATTAAATACCCTGATGGGTTGTCTCATCTGGTCCCTTCTTAAAGACAGGACTAGGATGAAGCCACCTTACCTAAACTTATAACCTGTTTGAGGCCGGAATTTTATCCTCTTCCTGACTTGTTAGTATTTAAAAGGCTCAAAGTTGCACCTACAAGACACACATACATACAAGACAAATGCAGTGTCAGGAGAGAGAAACACAGATGAGACAGTGCAGACACTTCCTCATTCTTTCTCTTTTGAAAAAGTCCCTCTCCGATGCAATAGGCTAGGCTTTCTGTTTATCTTACTGGCAATGCAGCCCTCTTACTGTCAATAGCTTAGAGCTCCAAACTTCTGAACAGCACTTTTATTCATAAACCAGATCTGCACCAAGGAAACCAAGTAGCATCGACTCATACATCTCGATCCTGTTCCTAGTCTCAAAGAATGCCCAACATTTGATTTTTGTCCCATTTTTTTCTGCTTACATGTTTTCACACTTGGGAAAATACTATATGCCTTTAAAATGTGATTGGCCCCAAGCAGAAAGATGCCTAACAGACACAAAGGGGTGAAGTGGAAAGCCAAGAGGACTGAGACGGCAGGGTGCTGAAGATAGTCAACCGAAGTGAACATCTGGGAGGGAGTTGGGAGTCAATGGTCACCCAAGAAGTACTTTGAAAAGACTTGCTTCTTACCCCAATTCCTGAAGCAGCTCAGCATCTCCATCTGATCTGCTCCACAGATCTGAAGGATCCTGGGTGCTCATCTTCCCTTCGAGAGACTCTGCTCTGCCCATTCGCGCTCCTCACGTCCCCGAGCCCCTGCCAGTTGCTATGGGAAGAGGCAGAGAGAGAGAGAGAGATGGGCTCTACTGCTCCTGGCGCTCTCCTCCTCTGAGAGAGAAGCCTGCTGTGGCTGGGCTCCAACCAGCAAGGAAGTGAAACTTGGGTTACTCCTCCCACTGACACTCACCACCCTGGCCCTGAGGCACGGGCAGGAGTCTTCTGTCAGCCAGGAAGTATGCAAACGTAGGCAGCTACCTCTGAGGGCACCCACACTGCATCATGCAACATGCAGTTTCTGTCAAAGGAAAGTAAGATGAAGTCACCCCAGCTGGGCTCGGACTATCCATCCATTCAGACTCCTTTGGCAAGGCCGAACATAGTTTCTCCCAGGTGCTATTATCAGCCCTGGGAGAAGAGGGTGCAGGCACCCCCATCTTCCATCTCATGCGCCAACGCAAGGGGCTCCGAGGAAGCTTCTGTATCAGGGACATCTTTACGGCAGGTGTAGAAATCAGAGTCAAACCATTAGCCTCGATCCTCAAGTCTGGTTTTTAGTGCCTTCTCGATACTTCTGCCTTGATTACCCAAGCTTTTCAATATGCCCGTGCCATTCAGACTGGCAAGATTCAGAGACAACTGCTGTTTTCTCTGAGGAGGAAGGATGGGGTGAGATGGCAGGAAAAGTTGGAGGGACCAGCCTGGTGCGGGGAGCCTGGGAGCCCCCCCTCCTTCACTGGGCTTACTCACCGCTGGTATCGGTGCAGCAGAGCAGCCCGTCTGCCTGCAAGTGCTCCAGGGAAACTGCAGCAACGCTGGGTGTTTGGGAGTCGGACGAAGTGAGGTAGTAAATGAACAAAGAACATGTGTGGCTTCCCGCCTTCTCTCTCTATTTACATGCAGGAGAGAATGTGCTTCTGGATTCTTTCCCTTCTCTCTATCTCTCTTACCCTAACGCACTCAGGGGTCACCGGGGTGCTCTGTAACCCAAGACCAGCAGCATTGGCATGACTAGGGGCTTGTCACAATGCAGAGCTTCTGTCCCAACCCGTCCGGACCAGCATCTGCATTTAAACAAGATCCCCAAGGTGACTCCCGTGCCCGTTCAAGTTTGAGGAGACTGTGTTGCAGGATGCCAGGACAGAGGAGCTGTTCCTAAAGCAGAGGATCTGCATCTGGCACCATTCTGCCTTTCCTTAAGGTTCTTCCCTTGGGAAACGTACAAGGGAGGTGGGGGGTGGTTGGGGTGACTGGGTGACAGGCATTGAGGGGGGCACTTGACGGGATGAGCTCTGGGTGATATACTATATGTTGGCAAATTGAACTCCAAAAAAAAAAAAAAAGAAGAAGAAAGAAAAGAAAAGAAAAGAAAAGAAAAGAAAAAAAGAAAAGAAAAGAAAAGAAAAGAAAAAAAAAGAAAAAAGAAAGAAAAGAAAATCTTTGAAATAAAAAAAAAAGTTCTTCCCTTGTGTTCCTGTTTGTCAGTGATTTGGGAGACCCTGGCTTACTTTGTGTGGGAGAAATTCCTGATGTCTAAACACAGCCTGGGGGAGAGACTAAGCTCTGATAACACTCTTGTAACTGATTGTACGTGAACATTTACAATTCTCTTTGCTACAGCGTGTACGGAGAGGAGCACAGGGTCCTCTTGCAACAGACGCCAGCCCCGGCCTGGGAGGTGCTGAATGTACATTTGGTAGAGATTGGGGCATCTGGGCAGAGATTTCCTGTTCTCTTTCTAGAGCTTTTTGTTCAGTGTTTCAGTATCTATCTTGTTCCCATTTTAGCAGATTCTGGTTTTTCTTTTACTTAACCTCTCCTCTCTCTCTCTCTCTCTTTTTTTTTTCAGGAAAGAAGCAAAGCTTACTAATATCACCCTCTTCCCATTTCAGTCTTCCCACCTTCCTCCTGTTCTCATTTTGCTACTCCATTGGTGACCCTCTCCTCTAATGTCATTCTTTCTGTCACTTACCCCATTTCCCCCAGGCAGTCTCCTTTCCCTACTAGCCCCCTGCTCCACTAACTACACATTTAGCATTGGAGCAGTACCAGTTGCTGCAGCATTACCACTTGGATTCAACAAAATGCTGGGTAGTCATCAAAATACTGAATAATATATTTAACAATAGATTGTTTAGATATTATACACACATAAGCATAAGCATATTTACATATGTATATATATATACTTCAAGAAACTGCAACTTTTGCTTCCAAACAAATAGGAGGTATATATATATTTATATAATTTATATATTATATTATAAATATAATATATAAAGTATAAATATAAATATTATTTAACTTACTTCAATATTCTTTTCAATAGTAGTGTTTCCTAGCACTAAATTCTTTCCATGTGGGTTTTGAACATAGAAATGGATACAAACAACCAAGCTGTTTTAACAATTCTGGAACATCTTATGCTTTGTTGGAAACATTTTTATTTATCAAGAAATCTTGGGCCTTTATCAGAATGACTATCACATCCAAACCATCAATTTTCTTATAAAGAGAAATTTGGGGAGAGTTATTGTGTCTAGATTTGAATTTCTTTATTAGAAGAATGGGTTTCTAGGACTTGAGACTCCTCTAAGGAGAACTTAAAAAGAATGACTATAGTTGAAGATCCTTTTCGATCTTACCCTAATTTATTTCTCTCTACAGAAGGCCTAAATATCACAATGTCTGCTTTTTACCTGGTTACCTGGCAATGGCAATTTTACTCATTCTCTTCACAGCAGGAATGGTCTTTCAGCTTCCTTGGTTAACTGTTTGTTATAAAATAAGCACGCTCTCTCTTTCTTCATCATTTATGTTGGTGGGAAATATAGGATACATTCTGTAAGGGAAACCATGGCTTGGGATTACCATGGACCAAGGTTACCATAGCTTAGTGTTGAGGCAGCCTTACTCTGTTTCCCACTTTCTGTTCTCCCGATCCATGAAAAAGAAAAATAAATAAATTACCATTTAATATTAAATTAGAGCACAGAAACAGAGGAGAAAGAAAGGACTGACCACATTTTCCAGCTGCAGGACAGCTCTCCAACAGGAGGGCTTCCATCGCTTCTCTTAATTCTGTGGCAGGCTCAGAGCTGCCATACTGCTTATAAAAATAGATCAATTTAGTTTTGCTTGAAGCCACCACCTCTGTGTTCTCTGCCACAATTATGTGATCTTTAACCCAGTTTCAAAGGCTAAGGCAATTGGGTTGTCTTGAATTAACTGAGACCCTATTTTATTTTCTTCTCATCTCTACAAGTGGTCGTAGCTTCTTTGTTGAACAGGCTGCTTGGATATGGCTAAAGCTCACCAGCCTTCTGAACCCTTCCTTGTTCCTCTTTCTTATTTCCTCCTTTCTCTATTGTTTTCTCACTTTTCATTTTCAATAGTCAATCCTGAGCTCCATTCCTCGCCTTCTTAATCTAATGGGAACTATTGGTTCCTTTCGCTAAACCAGTGGTGCGATTTAATTCCCTCATATCATCTTGCAGTGTTTGAGAGTTCTATAGAAGTAGCATAGCACAGCAATGCAGAGCACCCATCAGGGAAGGTGGAGAATCTAAAGTCCCCTGCAGCAGTGGGAAATCCCTGTCTCGCACTGAGACTCCCTAGGAATCACACTGTGGTAGGCCACCCAAGAAAGCTCCGTTCTGTCAGAACTTCTCAGGGGCCATATGTGCCCCACACCTGCTGTAATCCAGAGTAGAGCAAAGTCCCAGGCTCCATCAGGGCCACAGGAAGGGCGTGCCAAGGATCAAGTTTATGGGCATTGGGAACTTTATCTCCGTTCCTATCAGTATTTTCAGCTGCTGTGTTATTGAAGCAGAGATAGGTAGGGTATCTTCTAGATTATAGGACATACACATTTGGCATTCTCCTCACTCTCTTCAACTAGTTTTTCCATCCTCCTTGCTCCTCCTTGAACTTGGTTCATTTTTGCCTCAGGGCCATATATTGCTTTTACTTTTTCCTGGTTTTCTCTCCCTCTAGATCTCCTGTGGTTTCCTCTCTCACTTCACTCAGGTGTTTTGTTCAAAGGTCACCTTCTCAGGAAGGAGCTTCCTTTGCTACCGCTACCGTATTAAAATGCTTCTCCTCCTGCCCCTAGCCTATTCTTTGAGTTCCCTTACTCTACCTTACTGCTTGTCAAAGCACTCGATGTTGGTTGTTAAAATATTTTCATCTAAGTTTTTAAATAGCTACTGCTCTGAACCCCTGAGTGTCCCCCAGTCATCCTGGCCATCCCTATTCCCAGACATCTGAGACGTTTCCACTACCCAGTAAATGAAGAGGGATCTCTGGGACTCTGTTCTAGCATTAGAGTCAGCACCCATGTTTATTCTGATTCTTCAATACTTGTGGCATGCTAACTGTATATGTAACAGATGTACTGTAGTATAATTTATGTACCATAGTGTCCTGAAAGTATACAATACAATGATTTTTAGTAAATTTACAGAATGTGCAGCCATCACCACAATTCAATTTTAGAATGTTTTCATCACCCTAAAGATTCCCTGTATTCACTTGCAATCTCAATATTTTGGATACCTCTTCTGTTTAACTCTACCTGAATTAATTATATAGGGTTTTTGCTTACTTGTTGTGGCAAGTAAATTATATAATATATAAAGTGATATATTCTATATCTATCTTTATTTCTCAACCCAAATGATCTTCCACAGTGTGAACTTGTTGCTCTTCCATCAAGAGGCGGTACCTAATTCCCCTCCTTTGAATTTGGCCTATTCTTGGTGATCACCTGTGACCAATAGAACATGGTGGAAGTGACACTGCATGACTTTCGGGGCTAGGTTGTAAGAAGCCTTGCAGTTTCTGCTTGATGTCTTGGAATACTCACTCTCCAGACATTCTGTCTAAGGTGCTCCCTTTTAGAAGCTAGCTGTGATGTCAAGAGAAGCCCAAGTCACATGGAATGTTTTACTCTGGAATGTGTGTACTCTGGGTGACAGTTACAGATGAGCCCAGCTCGAATCATCTCAATCCAGGTTCCAGACACACTACTGAAGAAGTCTCTAGATGATTCCAGCCTCCAGCCATTTATATGATTCCCAGTGGTTTGAGTCTTGCCAACTGAAGGCTCAGGCTCTGAAG